AACGATTACGTGTTTTTAGGCATCTGAACAAAGAAAGTGTTTCGAGGGGATAAACTGAAGTAAAATGACTGCACAGCTCTGGCATGAACACCTGAGATTTACCCAAACATTCCTCAAAGACCTCTGAGAGCTTGAAAAACTAAAGCTAAACTTTTTTTCATGTGAACTTCAACAAAAAGTAGAAATCTGAGTCATCGTTCATGGTGTTTCAGGTCATCATTTAAAAAACCTCCAAACAGGAAAAGGTGATGCAGATATAATGACGGGGAAGCTGTACTTACTTCATCGCCCTCGCAGCCTGACACGTCTCCAGAGCAAAAACTTGTTTAGCAGGCTCAGACCGCCAAGGTCAGGATGGTTCAGCGTGACCACAAGAAACCAAACACGGGCGAGACGGCAGCCTCAAACCCCCAAATACTCCGAACTCTGACGGCCTGAACCAGCAGCTGCACGACGCTCTCAATAAAGTCCTTGTTATTAACCGAGAGGGTGGATAAAGTCCAATCACGGACACACACAAAGCCCAACAGAGTCCATCAGGACGAGCACACACAGGTGACTCATTACCTGAGCTTCAGTAATAACTTAATAAAACATCTGAGATGTGAAGAAACAAGAAAACTGAGCTCTGGAATATTTTCTTCTGTGTCTTTATATTAAAGGACGCTTCCAACATGGATTCTAATCGGAATCAAAAGTGTCAGGTAAATCTGGAGGTCATGACATCGATTAAAGGACAATGATCACTGATCGGAGCTCACGTCTACACCTGACGATACAAACTCATAAACATGTTATAAACATCACGTACAGGCCAGAGGAACAGGACCTGTGTGCAGTGACAGGAGACGTGTCTCACGGCGCGTTCACATATTTGACTTTCGGGCAGCTGGCTGCAGAAAAGAAGCATCTGAAGGAGAATATCGATATTTTCCGATCACTCTTTGAATTATGAACGATCAGCCCGAGCCGGGTAACATTCAGACGCTTGTTGTGCAACATGAAAAACAGAAGTTCACAGCTGGGCGCAGCACGGGGCCGCTTTCCTGAAATCCTCCAAAAATGACACAGAGTCTGGTTGGCAGAATCGTCCCCGGTTCCTCG